AAAGTCAGGGATATTTAATGGCTTATTTAGGAATCATCAGTTCTGAAAGGTCCCCTACTGGAATATGTTGTGTCACACATACTTTAGGAAAGGGAGGTTTATAAGGGAAGTTGGTTTCTTTGTGAACTGATTGTCTCTTTCTTCCTCACTCTAGAGTCCTCCTCCTCCAAACCTGGAAAGAAAATTCCAGCTGGAGCTGTTTCTGTATTTTTAGGTAACGGATTTGCTCTTTAAAAACCACAGCTCTGTTTTGTGATGGTTCTGCCATCCTGAGGACTGGCTGGAGAGGAGGCCCCTTCAGACAGTGCAGAGTAGCTTACAGAGCACTCAGTTACTGATGCCAGCTCATCAGTAACTTGGAAACCCTTGGCCTTGTGGCTGGGCTGCTGCTGAGGCATAGAGCATTTTGCCTTGTGTGCACAGGCCCTGTCTTCCATCCCCAGCACCACAAAATAATTTTTAAAAAGACAGAAATGGGTGGCTTGGGCTTCTTTGTTTGAGTGGCCATGTGATCCTGCATTGTGAGTCCCTCCCTAGCAGTAGCAGATGGATATAGTTTGGACCTGCTGATGTGTTTTGAGGATGAACTGAAACTAGTACGTAGTTCTCAGTGGAGGCGCTGTTTATTCTGAAGCCAGGAAACTCACCCACACTGCCCCTCAGCTGTGGCTGTCCTGTTCTCCGCCCTCAGGGGACACAGATGTGTTTGGGGCCCCAACCTCTCCGGTGCTGAAGGAGCCCCAGAAGCTGGAGCAGCCCACTCTGGGGAAGAGCTCATGTGTCCCGCCTACTAGTGGCCTCTTCGATGACGATGATGATGATGACGATGACTTTTTCACAGCATCTAGCAGCAAACCTTCCAAGACAGGTATCTGTCCCTGCTTCTGATTCTGGGGATTTGGCTGGAGAAAGCTGTGGCCCAAAGAGGATGCAGCTCCCCCAGCCATGGGCCTTCCCGTCTCCAAATCCCACCTCGCACTTTGCTATCTTTGTCTCCTCCATTCTAATGGTGCTCAGCCTCAGAGGTTGCTATAGAGTGGACTGTCTTTTCTGCTCTGCAAACTGCGTACAGAGATTATCTTTTTTATAGAGAGCTGAAGTCTTTTCCCCTATAATTTCTGCTCAGAATCTCTAGTTCTGGCCTGTGGAGTTAC